TACACCAAAAATACCCTGAAACCACCATATTTATTATATTTTCCACACTTCCAACACTGCTAAATAATTTCTAGACATGCAGAACATCATGGCTGGGAAACAGCATACTGTAGATTCATTTTCTAGGTTATGTTCATGAGTATCAAAGGTTCAAGCTGAAGAATTAGCATCAAAAACGGGATCAAGTCCTCTACTCACAAGCCCCCACAACGGTCATCCTTCCTTCTCCCATCACTACTTTCAAGTTTATTTCTTTTTTCTTGTTAAAGCTTGAAGGAGACAATTGTGCTTTTTATCTACAATGTGAGGGTTGCTCATTATAGAGTTGAAGTATTTATCAAAGATAATAGAAGGCACATTCATGTGTTTACTATTGTGTTATAATGTATACTATGTATAAATGTGCTTCTCAAGTTGTAATTTTTAACCCTTACATATTTTCTATCCTCACTGCTCCTACAGCAATGTACATTTCATTTTTGGTAGTTGTGTAATCATTCTTGTTATCTTGGGAGCACCGTCATCACCCCACTCTTCTAGCTTGGCTGGGGATGCTCTATTCCTAAACTTCGATAGAGAAGCTCTATTTTTGAACTTTTGTTGGAGAAGTGCTCTATTTCTGAACTTTGCTAGAGAAACTATATTTCCAAACTTCATTGGAGAAACTCTACTCCTAGCCTTTGCTGGAGAAACTCTACTTCCAGACTTTGTTGGGGAATTTGCTGTTGACCAACATCACTAGGCAGAATGAAACGGTCCATGGCACGTAGCCTCCTACATGTGAAACGGGTGCTACCAAAAAGACCTTCCTCATCATTCACAAGTGGCATCCTAGTCAGCCTTCACATCATCACCGTTGTTGACTCATCAACCTACATCACTAGCACAGCCCCAACAAAAATAACAAAAAAAAAAAAAGAGTTAACAATCCACTCACCTATATATTTTAAATATTATCTAGTGGACAGGCGTACCTCACCACACTTATTTATTTATATTTTTTAAACATATGGAAATTTTGAGAAAAAGGGGATTTTTTTTTTCAAATAGTAAATAAGAGTAAAACTCCAAACCTACTTAAACTAAGTTCTTAAGCTCGGAGGATGAACCAATAGCCCAATTGGCTGGTTCTACTTCACAATACTTATTAATTACATTTCTTTCACTTAAAAACATATTTATTTTTTATTTAATTATTTTAAGTCATTCATTAAAATTTGTAAATACTTATTTTAATCAATATTAACATTTTAATTTCACAATTTTCTGAGCAAATTTTCTTAGCATCAATCGAGATAATTTTCTTGGCATCCAAACAATTGAAATGGTACTTATTAAACAATTTTCTCGGCATCCTAACATAAACTGGACAATTTTCTAGCTAAGAAAACGAGTCCAAACCCCAAAATTGCACAATTTTCTAGCCAAGCAAACCAAAACCCAACCAACACTATTCCCCTGCTTGTTTACTGCTCCTGCTTCTATTCTTTCCATCATCAACGATATTCTCTCTTCTGGCATTAAAATTTGAACCCATAGATCAAGTTTTCAAAACACAACAATTAAGGGTCATTTGAACCTAGTTGCTAGGTTCATCTGATTTGGGTTTGTGAGGAACCCATTGCTGAGTTCACGCTTACTGGGTTTTAGCCTCTTAAGGGAAGAACAGAAATGGTCATTGGAAAACAGAGGAACGGAGGTACTGGTGGGGGCAAAGGGACGAATGCCGGGGGGGCGGGGGGGCGTTCACCCCTTCAACTTTTAAAAATTTTCAAAATTAGTACACATTTTTTTATCTTTTAAAAATTTTAAATTGTATACATCTTGTGAAAGTTTAAGATATTATCATTTAATTCTTTATAATCTTTCATATTTAACAACTCAAAACTAATACAATTTATAATACAAAAATGCTATAGTTATAATGCCTTGTGACATTATAAAGCTTATAACATGATATGTTGTTATAATTAACTTTTTTAATTCAAGGGTCTACTCATAACATTATGTGTATCTATTTGTTTAATATCATATTGTATTCATTAAAATACCACATAAGATTATAAATTTATAATTTTATATGGTATTATAACTATAATATTACCGTTTATTGAAAGAATTGTATACCCTACAAAGCTATTATTATTTATTTACATGTAGATTTCTTTTGAGTGATTTAATAAATTTTCTTTTCCTTAGATCATACATAAATAAATCATGTTGATTGTAGAGATGATCAAACAAAAAGATTTGATGATCTTAAAATTGTTAACAACTATAAGCATACTTTGGACAATATGCTCAACTTGGTTGTCACATGCTTTACTATTATAAGTGATAGAGTAGTAAATCTCAACCGCAAGAGTAGAGACTTTTAGTAACATAGTGAGTATTTATATAAGACAAATATTGAACTAAACTATATAGAATAATCTTACATTAATTACTATCAAAGAAAAGATTGTTTTATTTAAAAGTTAGAGAAATTCTTTTGACTTAAAGATGTTATTTAATCTTATATACAAATTATTTAGTTTTGATATTGTCAACCAATGATGTCCAATAAATGGGATATCTATGAATATATTGGACTATATAATAAGTACAAGAAAATTTATAGTCATCTAATAGGGAACCATTGCTCTTATTGTAAAAGAGAATATTCAAGTTTGCGTTCTTTTATGTTGAACAAAAATCCCACTAGTCAATTTAAAAAATATATATTTTTTAATCTCAGTTTTAGAAAATTAAATTTATTTTCAAAATTGTTTTAATTGTTTAAATATATTTAAGAGACAAACATACAAGTTTTGGATGACAATTTTATGAGAGATCTAATTCAATTAGATTTTGTGTAGAATATTAGTTGGTGAATGATTATGATGCAAATATTATGGTTTAAGGGATCTTACAACTTTATCTATAATTTCTTGGATAATATTGTTATCAACTGATGGATTTTAAAATTTTTAAATTAAATATACCATGTGAAAGTTTAAGATTTATCATTTAGTTCTTTATAATTTTTCATACTTAACAACTCAAAACTAACACAATTTATAATACAAAATCTTATAGTTATAATGCCTTATGGCATTGTAAATTTTACAACATAATATATTATTATATAATTAATTCTTTTTATTTAGAGGTTCATTCATGATATTATATGTATTTACTCATTTAATGTCATATTATATTTTATTAAATAGCATGTAGGATTGTAAATTTGTAATTTTATATGATATTATAATTATAACATTTTTGTTTATAATATTTTTATTATAACCATCATTTTAAATATGAAAAAAAATAGAACTTAATTAAATATTTTGTAAAAAATGAAAATAGTTTAATTTAAATAAATCAATTTCGTGCCTATATATTGAGTAACTTAGGAATTGATACTCTTAATGAAACACAAACTCAAAGAACCTTTTCCCTTCAAGTTTTTGAATTGTTTTAGAATTTTATTTTTTAATTTTTTCCATTTATTTTAGAAAATGATTTGATTAAAAAAGCTTTATTAATAAAAATGTTTGAGTTTTTATTTAGTCAATGGTTTTAATTTCTAAGTATTGAATTACATATTTTCCCTTTAATAATGTTTATTTCTTTGAGATGGGGAAGAATGACTTTAATATAAACAAATTGGTAAAAAAAAAAAAAAAAGATAGACATTTTAAGTTGGAAAGAGTAAGGTTTTGAAATTGTTTGAATTAATTGATCCATTATTTAAGTATTATCATGCATAATAAGGTATTATTTTTTATTTTAATAAAATTATTCATTTAGTAAAAAGTTATTAAAGTTATGAGACAACGAAAATATATTAATTTCTTAATTTTTTTTGAGATTATAAGAAGATATCAATGAAAAAAACAATCAAAATTAAAATTTTTCTTAAAAGTAAATTAGCTAGTATTATAAAAGATATTTAAGACTTAAATCTTCAATAAAGAAGTTCACTCCTGTCACCTAATTTTCTAGCTTTGCAACCATGGTATTGAGGAAAGGAATTCAAGGGGAAGAAGACGAAGAAGGCAACAAAAAGAATGAGGTTCAAGAAAAATTATTAAGGTATTTTGTCATTTTAAAATTTATAAGTGAATTTAGTTCAAGTGAAGCATACGCGAAGGTCACTGAAGATATTTTTTATTGTTTACACCTAAAAATAAACCAATGAGAGAAGACCACGTGTCAAGTTGAAGTCCAATTATCAAGAAAAGTCAGCAAGTTGGATTTGGGTTGGGCTAGGTTACAATTTAAGGGCCCAGACGAAATTTTAAAGAAGCTAGATATTAGGTGGCAGAAGATAAAATAATTTCTGGTGGTTGAGTTTGATTTAAGTTAGGAAGTTGAGAGTTTTTAGGAGGAGGTTATCTCTAGGGTTTTATTGGAGATAAGATTGAATAAAAATTGTCAATTGCTAGACATCTGCTAAACATGGAACCCCCACTACTCGATCATGAGGGAGAGGGCCGATAAACATGGAAGAGGTTTCCCAGCACCAAAGAAATAAAAACAAGAAAAAATCAGTTCCAAATGACCTGCCCTACACACACTGCCTAGAGCATGTGTTTTTCAACTTTCAGATTGCTTTCCTAGATTTCAGCATAGTTTCCATATTAGTTTTCAAGATCTGTTCTTGTTCATAGCTTTCGTTTAGGTTTTTTCCATTCTTGTTCATATCTTTCCTCAAAAATTTCAACTTAGGTTAGTTTTTAAGCATTTGGAACTAGATCAGCCTTAAAAACGGGTTTGTCCCATTGATTTGGTTAGTTCCTCTTTCTCTTATGGATTCATCTATGTTATTTGTTCATGTAAATGGGTTAAATGCTTTCTGTCTTCTTTTCCTTGTATTTGCGTAACTGTCAGACCTGTAGTTTACTCAATTTCAATTTCCAGATTTAATTTTACAAGTTTCCAGACTGTAATTATTTCATAGATTCTCCTTCAGTTGTAGTTATCAAGTAGTTTAGTTATTTTTATTTTTAATTCTGCAAGTAATTAGTTTAATCGTTATGGATTGCATAGTGGAAATCGTTATCTGTGATTTTACATTTTGTTGTTTGCGAGTTTTATTTTTGTGACATGTTGTTTTCTTTTATTGATATCATGTTAGATTAATTGCCTTATGATTTTGTGTTAATTTTAGGATTTGTAGCTTTTGTTACAGTTTTGTGGTTGCAAAGTCCTTGGAGGTTTCCAAGGCAATTAGTAACCCATTTTGCAGAACTCCACCCTCTGTTTTGGAACATCATCTGGGGCGCAATTTATTTCACAGACATTCTTTCAGCCATTCTATTGGAGGTCGACTGTTGGAAAGGAGAAGGATCATCTGGAAAATCCCATTTTCTTATTTTTAGACAAAGCAAGTGTGATACCCCAAAAATTTCTAGAATAAATAAGTGAGTTAGGGACTAAATTGTGGAAAAATATTGTTTTGGGCTTAAGGGCCAAAATATCCAAAGTTCAGGGGCTTAAAAGAGTAGAAATTGGATAAGGATGGCTTATTTCTTTTCTCCTTTTTCCTCTTTTTCTC